TGTCACTGGAATGATGCCCTCGGTATCCTGTGTCACTGGACTAATGTCTTCAGTGCTGTCCTGGAGCTTCAGTCTGACTACCATGATGCTCTTGGCTCTGAGTGGCGTCAGTCCTGTTGTGTCTAGAAGTCACAGTCTCCCCTTCCTCCCATGCTCAAAAGTGAGGGTCCCCAACACCCCCAGACCCCCATCCCCAGGCCCCAGCCAGACTCCACCCCCTCCGCTGCGGCCCACCCTTTCACACTCCCCCCTGAAATAGGACATCGTTGCATTTCGGTTAAAAAGTGCAGATACCCCCCGCGGGGCGGGAGGTGGGAGAGGGACAGCGGGGGGCCACAGGGGCAAGGGAACGGGGCGAGACCCCGAGAGTCCCGCTTCAGCGTCCCTGCCCCCCAGGTTCGTCCCCGGACAGGCCCGGGAGGGAGGCGGGCGCCGGCGTCCAACGAGGAATTCTGGCTTTTTGCTTCTCGTTTTAAAAAAAAGTTTGGAAGAGCTCTTGGATTGATGTCTTCAGTTCTTCTGTACAAGGAAAGAGGGAACCACAGAGCAGCCCATCCCTCCTCCTCCTCTCTCTGCTCCGGTCAGCGTCCTGGGGCTGTGTCCTGGGGCTGTGTGACCTTATTCAAGAAGGACAGTCATCATCATCATCGTCATCATCATTGTTATTGTTTTCTTCATCATTGAAAGTGACAAATGAAAACTTCTGTGTACAACAAATATTTAAACAATCTGTACAGAAAGTCTTAAAAACTAAATCGCCCGTCTGCACTTTCGCTGTAGACCAGGCAGAGAAAAATAACGCCAAGCACACACACACAGACCGACAGTTAAATGTAAACATAAAATTATTATTACTCTTATTGTTATTATTATTAATATTATTATTATTCAGAATAATGCTTTCTTGAACCCTGATAGGGAGGAGTCACATCGGGTTTTACCCCAGATGCTTAAAACAATTAAAGGGTTGAGCTATGAGACTGAGGTGGAGTCTGGAATGACAGCCTGAAACACTGCCCCCTGCTGCCTGAAACACTGTGTCACTGGACTGATTCCCTCAGTGTCCTGTGTCACTGGAATGATGCCTTAAGTGTTGTCCTGTATCACTAGTCTGATGCCTTTAGTGTCCCGTGTCAATGCAATGATGCCTTAAGTGTTGTCC